CTGACCTTAGAATGGGGAAATAACTAGGAGCTGCAATTCTAGTGGTGTTGAAAGTGCACACGTGATCCTTTACCTTTACGCCGGTAATGTTTATTCTGTGCACTAAGACTTGACACCTAGATCCGATCCTTATCACTAGCTCAATACTGGACGAAGAGGCTCGTCAGAATTTTGATGAAAAGTCGAGGTTTCTAATAATGTGCGCCCCTCTTTTTTTTTCCCTAATGTAAAAAGGCACAACCCATGCCAAGAATCATCGGTTGACTTATTGATGGTTCAAATCCACAACATTCATGTAACCAAAAAAAATTAATCACTCTGGTGGCTATGGTGAATTTTCAACTATACTAACTAGGCAATTTTCCCGTGTGCTAGCTCAAAAATTCAAAGCTTAATTTTAAGATGAATTGTGTATGAAGGAAATGACCCGAATCAAAAGCTATTTTTGGAAAATAGAAATGTTGTGTACTTACATTGTGTGCAAGCAAAAGAGTATGCATGTACGTTGGGCAAATTAAATTAGGGTCGGCATGGGCTAAAAATAGTGTTAGTTGATGTTGACGTGGCATATTTGGTGAGATGGAAGGTTACACGTTGAGAGAATTAAATATAATTAGAGATCAACTATTTAGAGATGTCGAATTCGAAAGGGGGACAACGGGTCAGTTACGGCACCCCTTCATTCGCGACTTGAAGCAAACAGGCGACGAGTTTCCCTGTCTCCCGTCAGCGGCACCACCGATCTGCCTCGTCTTTTGTGGCCTCGAGGCCGTGGAGAGACAAGGTGGGTCCCGACCCTTATTGGCAGGAGGTCTTGGTTTCTAGGCCTTTTTTGATTGGCTAGAGTTTTTGTCCGACTCAGGAAGGCGAGAAGGCGGCGACTCCCTGAAGATAGAATAAGGTTCTCCCTGCCTAGCCACCGTCACGATGGTGCGTCTATGGTCGTCGGAGGGCGTGTGGAGGTTTGTCCCAGGCTAATATCGTGGGATTCGGTCGGTGTTGGCCTCCAGTGGATCTGCTTGGATCTAGTCTTCGCTTATGTACACTCGTGTGTCTACAAGTTGGATCCTTCTTATCGGTTCTCTTCGTCGACAACAGTTGTTGTCCTGAGGCACTGGTCCTGTCAGATTTTAGCACGACGACTTCCTGACTATCTAGTACAACAAGATTTGCCCTACTCCGATGAGTAAGGGGCTATGACGGCAACGCGTCTTTGGTTCGTTCCAGTGCGTTTAGTCGTCGTTAGGTGATCTACGGATCTGGATATAATTTGTATTACTCCTAGTGTTCTTCGTACTACCATGACAATTGATGAATAGATCAAAAAAAAATTCTTGTAAAAATAATAATAATTAAACGGGTTAAGTTGCCGTGACAAATGGGAGGGATGGTCTTCGGTTTCAAAATAGGTCTCAAGTCCAAATATTCTCGTCGGCTTCTTCCAGGTTTTGCCTATGAAATCTTTATATTTTCCCAATTTAGACTTGTCATAAGCCCTAGAAAGCTAGTTAATCCCCGATAGCTCAGACGAAGATGACTTATGGTAAACGAAATTACTATGCGGACGACAGTATCCCGGCCGAATGGTGGACGATGTTGGATTGAACGGCGTTGTTTAATTTAGCTCTACTCATGTACGGCTTGATGTGTTACATCGTCTGAAAATCGTCCACCGTTGTCGTCTGTGTAGCAACGTTCTATGGTAAAACAGCAAGCAAGCCAGATTACATCCTAAGGTTAGATTCATCGCGTGCAAGACAAAGATTTTGTCCTATTTGTAGGGTTTGACCTCTCAATCTGCCTAACTCCATGTCAGCTAGCATGATTCAAGGAGGTGGTTAAATTGTTAAGTATTCTCTCCGTCCCTAAATATAAGTCTTTTTAGAGGTTTCATTAGAGAACTACATACGGATGTATATAGACATATTTTATAGTTTAGATTCACTCATTTCGCTCTGTTAGACCAAAACATAGTTCCATGCATGCCAAAAGGGCAGGCTATTGAAGGGCCAAAATACCACCCTATGTCCCTATTAGCCAGCACCAGGCATGTAGTGGTACTACTAATGCTGTCAGGCTCCTGCTTAGGATGCCTATGAGTGATAATTTGTTAACTACTACTCAGACCTTGTTCGGAATACCGGGGGCTCCTTTGATTCAAAGTAATTCCATCGAATTTTTGGAGGATTTGAATCCTTAGGAATGGAAACATTAGAAAAAAGTTTGTAAGGGTTGTTTTGCACACTATTTTGGAAGAAATTTTCCATCCATTGAAAGCTCTTTGCTCAATTTCTTTGTTTCTCATGTGGTATCAAACACTGTTTGGTATAAAATTCCTACGGTTTTCTAATTCTACAGGATTCAAAAGGACATTCCATTTCAACCATGTATTTTTCCTATTCCTGCATTTTGAGAATCCTGCGATTCAAAGAGGCCCTGGATTTTTTCACAAGAAATTTGGAAACGTTAAGTTGCGGCCAGAAATGTGGATGAATTTACAAGTTCGAGAAGGTGTCTTAGTCTGAATATTCTGGTGGGTTCTTGAAGGTTTATCTTTGTGTTAGCTAGTCTTTTTTCCTTTGATTTTGAGCTATCATGGGCTAATGCAGTCTCAGACCAAAATGGCTTATGGCAAAGCAGCAAGCAAGCCAGATTCCACTCTTGAGCTGACCAATTAATATATATCTTTTCTTGATAAAATGTTATATTTTTCCTTTTTCTACAATTACTACCAAGTTAGAAAAAAAAAAGATGATTTAAAGTTCTCAGTACATTAGTCAGCACTCAGCAGGCAATTAACATTAGCTCATGTTATCAATGGCAACATGCCACTGTAGCTCAGGTCACAGCCATTCAGATTGTACAGACTACAGAGCAAAACAACACCTACAGCACATCGATTCAAATAATTTCATGTACATCTTGTCCCAGAGGCTTGCACTGAGACCATCAGGCTTCTTCTTTCAGTCAGGCTGCATTTCAGAGGCAATCTGAATTTTGCTTGGTTTTCAGCAGAGGAACCAGCTGCAGCACCGGAACCGGGACGGCACGCGGCCGGTCTTCCGGATGCGCTCCACCTGCCGCGCCAGCCGAACCGCCCGCCGGTTCCGCCTCGCCTCGACCCTCGCCTGCTTTCCCTCCACCTTGTGGCTCAATGTGGACAGCCTCTTGGTCAGGCTGTTCTTCGCCCTCGCCTTCATTTGATCGGCCTGCACCTGAAATGAATTTTTTGCACAATTACATTCTGTAACTTGATACAATGCATGATCAGAATTTGTTGACACACAGCTGGGATTTGTTTCACAGTTTTGTCAGGAGAATGTAACAAGTTTAGGAGTTCAGATGGAAGCTGACCTCTGCATGCCTCATCTTGGCTTCGAATTTGGATTTCTGGCAGTTCTCCCACTCCTGAATCTTCACCTCCTTCCTCTGATATCTGAACCATCATGACCAAAACAAAATAAGATAAGATTCAGAAGAAAATGCTGTGTTTGAATGAAACAATCAGGCACAAGAATCAGGATTAAAATGTGGAGATTCTGCTCGTGCCTTGATGCGAGTTTGCACTTCTTGGACTCTGCCCATGCCGCGGCTCGAGCTTCGAACTCCTCCTTGCTGGCTTCGTCTTCTTCGCCGGTGCTCTTGTCCGGCGAGGTGCGGATGCGGTCCTCCTTGCTGGCCCAGGACGCGATGCTCATCTTGCCCAGCTGCAGCCCGAGCGCGGCGATCTCCCGGCGCGTCCTGATCTGCAGCTCCCGCTCGGACGCGGACGGCGAGGCCGGCACCGAGCAGAGCGGGCTGAGGGACGGCGTGGCGGCGCCGGCCGGGGTGCCGCTCCTGGACTGCTCCTGGCTGGCGATCGGCGTCATCTCCGTGCCGACGTCCCTCATCGACACCGACGACGACTGCGCCACCGCCGGGGCGCCCACCTGGGTGCGGAGCTTCGTGTCGCGACGCTGCTTGCTCGCCGGCCCGGTCACCGACGCCAGCGAAGACGACGAGGGCGAGGGCGACCGCGGCAGCTCTGTCAGCGCGCTGCCGCCGCTCGTCTTCTTCGTTTCCGACTGCGGCGCCGCAGACTCCGGCACGACGCGGACGCAGCCTCCGCCGACGCCGCTGTGGCCGTGCACGGAGGCGGCCGCCTTCTTGGAGAATATGGGGTTGGAGTGCACGACGTGCCTCCCGGCGATCCACTTCTCCGCGTCGTTCCACTTGGACGGCACCTGCCTGAAGAAGGGCCCGAGGCCGGCCACCGCCGCCCTCTCCTCCATGTGGAACTCGAAGCTGCCGCCATTGCCGGAGTGAGCAGCAGACCTGCCGTGGCTCCCGCTGGAGCGCGACCGGGAAGAAGAATCCGAGCGGTCCTTGTGGTACTCCGAGGAGCCCTCGTCGAGCTCCTGCGGCAGGAGGCTGTTCTTGGGGTGGTCGTCGGCGTGGAGCCTGGACGGCGACTTGCTGGCCGCCTCGTCCTTGCTGGCGGCTCCGTGGGGATGGGGATGGGGATGGGATCCCATCCCCAGCAGCTTCATCCTCAGCTTCGTCGGAGACATGACCCCCATCTGCATCCCAATCACACCCACACAAATCAAAATCAGGGGCGCTAACACATTGATCCATAAGTAAATGTGCTGTTAATTTCAGTAAAACTGATCCTATGAATGTGTGGGAATTTGTGGCGATGGATTGGCTGCAGAAATCTGTGCCTTGGTTTCCTCCGCAGAGGAGGGAGGGGTTGACTGCTCCGCTGCTGCTAGCGAAGCTGCCATTGGGGTGCGATGGTGTGAGCAGAGAGAGCAGAGTGAACCTCTTCCCACCAACATCAAACCTCACTGAGCTCACTCACTCACTCACTCACTCACTCGCACACTGGAGAATGAACCGAGCCCCCACTCTGGGCATGGAGCAGCAAAGCATGGCCATACAGGGAAAGGGAAAGAAGAAGAAAAGAAAAGAAGGTGACCCTATACTATAGTGTTAGTGTAGTGCCTGCCATGTTACCCATGGGACAACAAATCCAATCCAAAGCCCCATAAACGCGCAATGCACTACAGTTCTCAATGCTGGAAACAGCTTTGACACAGTGCTAGCAACTCATGAACAGAGATACTCCCCTCTGATAGAAAAAAGATTTAGTGGTATCTTTGTTGTGGATGGAAACCCAAATGCTGCTAGTAGCACAACGTTGTGGATGGAAACAGTGATGACTTGGACACCGCCATGGATGAACACGGATAAATACACAGAGCAAAGAAAATTAGCACTACCTGAACCTTGTGTATCCTCTCATACTCCATGGTGACAGTGCCCCTCAATCTCTCTCTCTCTCTCTCTCTCTCTCTCTCTCTCTCTCTCTGATGCTGATGCTGGTGCTGGTGCTGCAAGTGGAGGAAAGGGGAGGGGAGGGAGGGCAAAGGCAGGATAAGATTGCTTTGTTAATTCTCTGGGGTGGGAGGAGCGGGGCAGAGCAGGTGTTGGTGGTTGAAGCGTGAAGCAGCAAGCGTGCTGTGCCGAGGGAGAGCGGGCTTTTATATAACCGGAGGAGGGAGGAAGGCACGTGGCGGTTGGCGACGAGGAGGGGTAGCGCGTGCCGCTGGGCCGTGCGATCGACACGTCGCCGGATCGGACGGACGCTGTCGGGACAAGGGCGCGTGCGGCGGAGCAGTGTGCGCGCTGAACCGAGCGTCTGCAGTCCGCCTAGCTGAAGCCGATTGGGTTCTGGCCAGTCGGCCATGGCAAGGCCGACCGGTGCCCGCAAAGTCCTTTTTACCGGAGCTTGGAGCTACCGGTGGTTCCCCGACCAATAAAATCTTGCCACCTCAGAAGTTGTATCTATGTATTCCACTATTACCTTCATTTAAGCCTCTGTATTTCACCAGCTTGGACCCACCCATGTGATTTGACTTGCTAGGCCACGCACGTGATTCCAACCACAACACCCGCTTTACACGCATGCCTGAGTCACGTACACTTCACACATGTACAGAAGCACATACATAGCAAGGTCAGCTTATTTTGTTCAAAGGATCAACCTCTCTCACTTTAATTTAATTTAAAATCTTTTATAACACATATTTGAATTTCAAATGAAACTTATTCCATTCAAGTTTGATTTCAATAGTTTGATAAATAGATTTTCACTTTTTAATCTAATTCCACACATTCGGAAAAAACTAATTTATATAGTTTCATATTTCCCAAAAGAGTGAAACTATTTATTTTTCAACTTTCATAGAGCTGATTTGTTTTCTTAAAAAACATTTGACTCCTTTCAAAAACACATTTCACTAAAGAGTGAAACTTGGTATTTCAAAAGAGTGTCATAAGCAATTTTAAATTTTTACTAACTGGTTTCATTTATTCAAATAATTCCGGTGTCATTTTTCACAACGAGTGAAACTGTTTATTTGAACCTAAAGCTAGATTTCAATCCTCTCAAAAACTGATTTCAATAATTTCAAGAACCCATTTACGCATTTCACTCATTAAAACAGAATTCGGTTATTCCAATTTCAATTTCATATTTCACAACAAGTGAAACTAACTATTTTAAACTGTCAAATAACAAATTTCAATTCTTTCAAAATAAGATTTCACTCATTGTGAAAACCATTTTCACTGTCATATTGTACAAAATACTGAAACTTACTATTTCAAAAGAGTGGCATAAACAATTTTAAATTTTTACAATGTAATTTCAATTATTCCAATTCCATTTTTCATATTTCACAATGATTGAAATGATTGTTTTAACCGTCAAAGAACTGATTTCAACTCTCTCAGAAGAAGATTTCAATCATTTCAAAAACATACACTATCATATTTTACAAAATACTGAAACTTACTATTTCAAAAGAGTGGCATAAACAATTTTAAATTTTTACAATGTCATTTCAATTATTCCAATTCCATTTTTCATATTTCACAATGATTGAAACTGATTGTTTTAACCGTCAAAGAACTGATTTCAACTCTCTCAGAAGAAGATTTCAATTATTTCAAAAAACATACATTATCATATTTTATAAAATACTGGAACTTACTATTTCAAAAGAGTGGCATAAACAATTTTAAATTTTTACAATGACATTTCAATTATTCCAATTCCATTTTTCATATTTCACAATGATTGAAACTAATTGTTTTAACCGTCAAAGAACTGATTTCAACTCTCTTAGAAGAAGATTTCAATCATTTCAAAAACATACACTACCATATTTTACAAAATACTGAAACTTACTATTTCAAAAGAGTGGCATAAACAATTTTAAATTTCTACAATGTCATTTCAATTATTCCAATTCCATTTTTCATATTTCACAATGATTGAAACTGATTGTTTTAACCGTCAAAGAACTGATTTCAACTCTCTCAGAAGAAGATTTCAATCATTTCAAAAACATACACTACCATATTTTACAAAATACTGAAACTTACTATTTCAAAAGAGTGGCATAAACAATTTTAAATTTCTACAATGTCATTTCAATTATTCCAATTCCATTTTTTATATTTCACAATGATTGAAACTGATTGTTTTAACCGTCAAAGAACTGATTTCAACTCTCTCAGAAGAAGATTTCAATCATTTCAAAAAACATACACTATCATATTTTACAAAATACTGAAACTTACTATTTCAAAAGAGTGGCATAAACAATTTTAAATTTTTACAATGTCATTTCAATTATTCCAATTCCATTTTTTATATTTCACAATGATTGAAACTGATTGTTTTAACCGTCAAAGAACTGATTTCAACTCTCTCAGAAGAAGATTTCAATCATTTCAAAAACATACACTATCATATTTTACAAAATACTGAAACTTACTATTTCAAAAGAGTGGCATAAACAATTTTAAATTTTTACAATGTCATTTCAATTATTCCAATTCCATTTTTCATATTTCACAATGATTGAAACTGATTGTTTTAACCGTCAAAGAACTGATTTCAACTCTCTCAGAAGAAGATTTCAATTATTTCAAAAAACATACATTATCATATTTTATAAAATACTAAAACTTACTATTTCAAAAGAGTGGCATAAACAATTTTAAATTTTTACAATGTCATTTCAATTACTCCAATTCCATTTTTTTTATTTCACAATGATTGAAACTGATTGTTTTAACCGTCAAAGAACTGATTTGAACTCTCTCAGAAGAAGATTTCAATCATTTCAAAAACATACACTATCATATTTTACAAAATACTGAAACTTACTATTTCAAAAGAGTGGCATAAACAATTTTAAATTTTTACAGTGTCATTTCAATTATTCCAATTCCATTTTTCATATTTCACAATGATTGAAACTGATTGTTTTAATCGTCAAAGAACTGATTTCAACTCTCTTAGAAGAAGATTTCAATCATTTCAAAAACATACACTATCATATTTTACAAAATACTGAAACTTACTATTTCAAAAGAGTGGCATAAACAATTTTAAATTTTTACAATGTCATTTCAATTATTCCAATTTCATTTTTCATATTTCACAATGATTGAAACTGATTGTTTTAACCGTCAAAGTACTGATTTCAACTCTCTTAGAAGAAGATTTCAATCATTTCAAAAACATACACTATCATATTTTACAAAATACTAAAACTTAGTTTTTTACAAAGGTATTTCAGTTATTCCAATTCAAATGTCATATTTCACAACGAGTGGAACTGATTAGTTCAACTGTGAAATAACTTATTCCAATTCTACAAAAAGTACATTTCAATCCTTCCAACAAAAATGAACTATGATATTTTTTATAAAGGACCGAAACTTAGTATTTCGGCTATTTCACTGATTTCAGACATCACAAAATATGGATTTCACATATTTGCACATCAATTTTGACAATTCCAGAAAGAAATTTAACTTGATTCACAACTGAAATATATTGTAATTGCACTGAAAGTGCCCAAGTTGTATTGTTTCACAATTCACATCAAATACAACTACTGAATTCTCATTTCACCTCCAGAAAACAATAACTAATTATCTTCACATAACAAGAACTGAAACTGAATCCACGGCAAGGAGCAGGGGAGGCCATCTGGTAAAAAGGCAAGGGAAGTTCAAATCATGCACAACAAAACAAATTCATTTGGAATACAGAGAGAGATGCAAGGGGAGGTGGGCTTCATAGCTCACCAGAGGGATGCAGCCAGGTCCGCGGGAGAGAAAAAGGGGAAGGGATCTGGCGGCGGCTATGCTTGGAGTCACCGGATTCGGCGGCAACCGCGCGAAGCGACATGTCGTGGGGGCCGTGCTGCGAGATCCACTCATGGTGACACCAGCGGACGGGCAACAAGGACGAAGGAGGACGGGAGCCTCGCGCCGGCCAGGGAAAGCCACGTCGTCGCCGCCAACCTGGCTTGCTGGATCTCTGTTGAAGACGAGGTCGTCCGACCATGAATCTGTCGTTGTTGGTCCGGCAACTGGCCGGGGAAGCGATCCGGCGGCCGGAGTTGGGACGGTCGCCGGATCCGGTCGCCGGAGATGGAGAGAGGTTGGGTACGGGGTGGGCTGGGCTGCGAGAGACGGGGGCATGGGACAGGTTGGGAGATATTTATCCTTCGGCCCCGTCAATGTATTCCTTTCGTATATGTTCTGTATCAGCGGAAGAAAAGAAAATTAACTCTATGTGGGTCCAACACAGCACTAATCTAAAAGCAACCTTGTGTGGTAGATTCTTCGCCGGTACTTACCGGAACCGGTAAAAAAACTTAGTTGGACCGGTGCCCTCACCAACCCCTCGCCCGGCTCCTCCTCCCTTCTCCCCCCCTCCCCTCTTGTTCCTCATCTTTCCCCTCCTTAG